CACTATTTGATTATTACTCTGAAGATGAATACGGTTAATGGTGTTGCTGATATAATGTTAACTTTTGGGTTTTTAAAGATTATATATACACTATCTCTATGGATGTCATCTTCTGTGCACTTAAGTAAATCGGCAGTCTAGGAATCTCCCTTGGCATGTCTCTGCCCCTGACCTGCCAAAGTCACTCCATCACTTGGAAGTCATCCCTCCCCCTCAAGTCCCTTTGAACACTTGCCACTTTCCTTCAGTTTCACTACCACCATCCTGGTCCAAGCAGACACCTCTCTCTCAGACCCTGCAAGTACCCCCAACTGGTCTCCTGTCCCCACTGGAATCTACTCGCCACCTAGGACAGACTTTTAAAAATGCACATTCAGCCGGGCTCAGTGGCTCAGCCTATAATCCCAGCACTTTGGGAGGCTGAGGAGAGTAAATTGGCTGAACCCACAGGTTTGAGACCAGCCCAGGCAACTTGGCAAGACCTCGTCTCTACCATAAACAAAAAATCAGCCAGGCATGGTAGCGCATGCCTGTAGTTCTGGCAACTTGGAAGGCTGAGGTGGAAGGATCGCTGGAGCTCAGCAAGTTAATGGTGGGGTGGCCGTGAGCGTGCCACTGCACTCCAGCCTGAGTGACAGAGTGAGACTCCAACTCAAAAAATAAAACAAAATAAAAAAATAAAAACACACATCCAATGTGTCCCGCCCCTGCTGAACCATCAATGCTTTCTTATTGCTCTGGGACCCATCCCCCACCCACTTAACCCGACCCTTAGTGATCGGACAACTGCCTGTCTCCTCTCTCCTGGTTAGTCTTTCTCTCCATCTTCCAGGCTCCAGCTATGCTCCTTTTGAGCCACGTGTCTTCTGCCAGGGCACTTGCTCGTTGCTCTGCTTCTCTGCCTGGAAAGCTCCTCCCAGGCCCTCCTGCCCACCCACAATCCCTCTGCCTCTTCCTCCTTTGCATCCTTTGGGCCCTATGTCCATCCTCCTCTCAGGGACATCGTCTCTGGCCTCAGCCCAGGTTCCCTTGCTAAATACTCTTGTGGCAGCTATTTACTTTCTTACTGTTTGCCACCTTAACCACCCCCCCACACACACACTCACATACTTCCCCTCCAGCAGAACTTAAATCCCTTGAGGACAGAGACTGGATGTGTTCACTGCTCTTTGCTGAGAAGTTAAATGTGTGTTGAGTGAATAAGTCATATTAGCCATATTCGCTACCCCACTTCTGAATGATTGATTATTGGGTTCAAGTTTCTCTCTCCCACTAGACTGTCAGCTCTCTAGGGTGGGAGCCATATCTGCTCTGCTCACTGTTGAATCCCAGCTTCTGCACCCTACAGATCCTTCTACAAGTGTGTACTGGATACATTTTGACACAATCATGTGAAAATGCAGAGGAAAAATCACAAAAAAAGGCTAACCATGACCATGTTAGGACTGATTTCCACCCCCCATCTCCAAAAAATACTTAGTAGAAAAAGTGGCAATGTGAATGAAAATCCACAATTAAACAAAAGAATAAAAAAATTCCAAAGATTGCACATATTCAATAATAAAAGTGCTGAAATAAAAGGGAAAATAATAAACTAAAATTAGAAACAATACCTATAATCATTCCACTCTAAGAGATCAGTTGTTTTCATAGTTATTTTTAGCTGTGACCAAATGGGGGCTCATTTTTACATAGCTATAGTCATAGATAAAATGTGTTGTTTTGTTTCTTCTGCTTCATACTATGTCATATGCATTTTACCAAGATTCTACATTGCCTGAATAATTATTGTTAGGCTGGGCACCGGGGCTCACGCCTGTAATCCCAGCACTTTGGGAGGCCGAGGAAGGAGGATTGCTTGAGCCCAGAACATAGCAAGATCTCATCTCAAATAAAATAGAATAGAATGGAATAATTAAATTGTTAGCAGCTGCAAGATGTTCAACTAAATTAACATGGGATGGGTTTCCTGGCATAGAATTCAAAGTGTACAAGTAGTTGTGGGGAAATAGAGATTTCTGGCTTTGTTGGCCAGAAGATGGAGAAGAAACAGGCTGGGATGACTATGTGTGCAGGTGTGGAATGAGCACTTGAGGAGAACTGAGTGAACTGTGATTGTTTTTAAGAGGTAGTCAATGTTACATCAAGCCTGTAGGAGAGAAAAGATGTTATATGTGTAAGAAGCAAAATGGTGATTCATTTTCAAAATGGCGGATTGTTATTTCACTTTCTGGTCCTTCCTTCTTTCCTGGCAGGCTTTCTCTTTTGGCAGACTTCCTTTGATGAGCATTGAGACCCAATCAGAATCTAGAAACATGTATTTTACCTTATTTGTGTAGAAACTGCTTGTGTTTTACCTTATTTGTGCAAAATTATTGCTTAGGCAACATCTGGGAAAGTGAGGAAACCTCTGAAGTAACAGGTAATGAGGAACCAGGGGAGGACCTTGTGCTTTAGGCATAAATATGCTGGCTCTGACCACCTCGGTATGCCTGCTTACCCGAGAGGTGCCCGTTTCTTGCAAGAATGAGATTAAAAGAGCTGTTTCACTCTCCCAATCTCTGAGTCTCTGTGTCGTGCTTTGACAACAAAACTGAAGAGGGTCAATTCCACCTCCCACATGTGTATATGGAACGTTGCTAAGGTAGCGTGACTGTCTTCTGGAATGAGGTGGATGTGTTGAGAAGTGAGGGAAACTGGTGCTGGCTTTTGGAGAACTGACATCAGGGAGGACTCCAAGGAAGTGGAGGCTGTGGGACATTAGTAAACGAGGTGTTAATAAGTTTGTAGGCCTGGGCTTGGTGGCTCATGCCTGTAATCCCAGCACTTAGGGAGGCCGAGGCAAGAGGATTGCCTGAGCCCAGGCATTCAAGACCAGCCTGAGCAACACAGCGAGACCTTGTCTATACAATAAATCAAAAAAATTAGCCAGGTGTGATGGTGTGCACCTGCAGCCACTCAGGAGTCTGGGTCAGAAGGATCGCCTGAGCCCAGTAGGTTGAGGCTGAGATAGCTGTGATTGTGCCACTGCACTCTAGTCTGGGCAACAGAGTGAGATTCTGACTCAAAATAATAATAATAATAATAAAAATTGGAGGCAGCCAGTATCAGTGAGAAGCAGACACGTAGGCTCTCTCAGTCTGTCCTGTGAGTAAGGGAACAAGTAGCAGTAGAGACAGGAGTGGCCAGGTGACAGAGAGTGGCGGTGGCAAAGGAGAAGCACCAGTGCAGATTCTGTGGGCTGAACAGAATCAGTGCTGCCCAGTGCTTTTCAAAATGCACATCCTGCTTCTTTCTTGGATATGTTTATCAAATAGAGGTATCACAGTCCCATGCAGGAGCCTGAGTTGCAGACATCTCAGTCCACTGCCCTTAACTCCAAACTCACCACTTTGCTGACGTCTTGCTCACCATCTTTGAAGTAGGACCAAACAGCAGACCCTGGAGAAAGGATAACCGCTCCTGAGTGACATGAAATACTTTCCCAAACTGCAGAACTCCCCAAGAGTGGACGCCAACAACATGCCCCAAGTCCTCATTAGTGCTGTGCCCAACCAGCCACTTGAGTAGCCTTGTCATCGTGTTCTTCAGACGCCCCTTCTGGCTCATTTTGCCTAAGTCCAGGAACATCTCCTGGATGGAGCACCTCTCGATTCCAAACTGCTCCAAGGTCTTCCTTAAATAGATCAAAATGGTCTACTTTGAAAAAACCTAAATCAGCCAGGCTCGGTGGCTCAGTCTATCATCCCAGCACTTTGGCAGGCTGAGGTGCGGGGGTTGCCTGAGCCCAGGGATTGCCTGAGACCACATCTCTACAATAAATCAAAAAATTAGCCAGGCATGGGAGTGTGCACCTGTAGTTCTGGCTACTTGGAAGGCTGAGATGGAAGGATCGCCTGAGCCCAGCAGGTCGACACTGGGGTGGCTGTGAGCGTGCCACTGCCCTCCAGCCTGGGCAACAGAGTGAGACTCCAACTCAAAAAAAAAGAAAAAAGAAAAGAAAAAAATCGAAATCATAGCAACCAGTATTTGAATGAAGGACTTAAAGTAGCATTTTCATTTGAAAGAGGACTAAACAGAAAAGGGCAGGAGAGAAAGAAAAAGAAGTCATGCTAGACGTCAGTTATACTGTGTCAGCTAGAGACATAGTTCCTGAGGTCTTCTTGTGAGGATGCCTGGATACCCTTTCCTGTCCCTCTCACATCATGCTGCCCCTTACCACCTTTGTGTTAGATCCATGCTCACTCATGGGCTTTTGTGTAGTTGTATCTAAAGAATTCCATAACCTGAGACCATTGCATTCACTCATTTCTTTTTTGCCTGCTAGCTTTATCTTTGACCTCTGGATGGGCAAATAAGGATCCTATTTGTGGCCGGGCATGTTGGCACATGCCTGAGGTCCCCGCTGTTCAGGAGACTTAAGCAGAAGGATCCCTTGAGCCCAGGAGGTCGATGCTGCAGTGAACCAAAATCTCACCGCTGCCCTCCAGCCTGGGAAACAGAGCAAGGCTCTGCCTCTAAAAAGACAAAAAGAAGAATCTATTTGCTACATTCACCGTTGAATCCCCAATCCCCATTGCCCACGCAGGACCTTAATAAGCATTTCATTGATTAGCATTGCTCAATAAACACTTAATGGATTAACAAATGAATGAACGAGTAATCAGTACGAGGAAAGGCCAGTTTCTGCATGTCATTAGAACATCTGTCCTTCAAGTGCATTATTAGGTCAGGTTTTAACACATTGCTCAATCCAGGTTGTCGTCATCGACTTGGTGATTATTTTTACTGGCAAAAACGTTGAGCTTGTCATCATACTTAGAAGAATACACCTGAAAGATGTACACAGTGATGAAAAGAAAATTCTGACTGGAACCGGTTTTTGCCTAGACTTAACCATTTTCGCTGCTTCTCCATTCCATAGCAAAGTTTAGCCCTTCACGTGAATTTACACTAGATGCGAATTTAAAGAGTGTGTTGATATTTTTATTTTATTTCAGCAAACTTCAGAAGACAAAGAGGGATATCAGATGGCTTCAAGGAGTGACGGGGGAATGGTTTGAAGAGATTCAAAGGAAAAAGTTTTGCAACGAAACAGACGTTAGCCAAATGTTAAAACAACCACTTACATACAGGCTAAGGAAGGAGATGGCAAAAAATGGTAAGAAAAATATGTTAGAGTTCATGTATTTTTTCTTTTTTTTTGTGGCATAGTATTGTAGGTGATGGCTCAGTGGATCTCCAACTTTACCAATTCATGTTAGAACTGTTTTAAAATCGTGAGGCCCAAAAGTTTTCTAAAACAACATACAATAAAAAGAATGAACAGAAATCTTACTGTTTAAAAAGTATACAATAAAGACGACAACATGACATGGTGGTTAGGAACACCACTACGATGTCAAAAAAGGCCTGGATTCCAATCTTCACTCTGTCTCTATCCATATGGGTCTGTTCAAGTGACTTACTTTCTATAAACCTCAATCTTCTCATCCTTAAATGGGTACAATACCTACCTCATAGGGTGATTGTGAGAATTCAGTAAGATGGTGTCTGCTGAGTATTAAAATGGAACACAGTAAGTATTTCAATAAATGGGATGAGGAAGAAGAAGGAAGCAGAGAGGAGGGGTGCGGGAGGGGAGAATTGCAGGAGGCGGGAGAAGGGACAGGGAAGCGGGGGCTTCCCTTCTGGTACTTTGGCAAACTCTAGCCGGGTGGTGCCGCTCACACCTATAATCCCAGCACTTTGGGAGGCTAAGACAAGAGGATTGCCTATGCCCACGGGTCTGAGACCAGCCCGGGCAACTTGGCAAGATCTCATCTCTACAATAAATCAAAAAATCAGCCCAACGTGGTGGCGTGTGCCTGTAGTTCCAGCTACTTGGAAGGCTGAGGCGGAAGGATCGCCTGAGCCCAGCAGATCGAGGCTGTGGTGGCCACGAGCGTGCCACTGTACTCCAGCCTGGGCAACAGAGTGAGACTCCAAAAATAATAAAGATAAAAATAAACTCTGGCTGGGCTCGGTGGCTCAGTCTGTCATCCCACGCCTTTGGGAGGCTGAGGTGAGTGGATTGCCTGAGCCCGCGGGTTCGAGACCTGCCTGGGCAGCGAGACCTCATCTCTACAATAAATCAAAAAATCAGCCGGGTGTGGTAGTGCATGCCTATAATTCCGGCTACTCGGAAGGCTGAGGTGGAAGGATCACCGGAGCCCAGCAGGTCAAGGCTGCGGTGGCTGGGAGCAGCCACTGCACTCCAGTCTGGGCGACAGAATGAGACTCTAACTCAAAAAAATAAAATCAAATCAAATAAACTCTGTACATGAGTCCAATAAACACCTTCTAGGGACATTTAACCATGTGACTACCAGCATGTACGTAGCCTCACCAAACAATTACTTTTTTAAAAAAATGTATAAATGAGGATACTAAAACCTGCTTTCACACTATTATGAATGAGAATAACACCATGCACTTGAAATTATACAATACTAGAATAGTATAAAGTATGTCTTTACTGATACAGTCACATTGACTGCTTTTGCATATGTTATTAACATTAGTGACATTATGAAATATGTACCTATTTCTAAACATATTGATAATACCTTGCAACTCTCATAATAAACAAATCTATCTAAAAAGACTCACAGATTTTAGATCAACTCCATGTATACTGCAGTGACTTTTCTCTTATCCTGAATTCTTCTAATATTTATAAAGTCAGCATGTCCAAAGGAATGGAGATTTTGTATATGCTGATGTTGCCTTTGAATTTTTAATACTCACATATAAAACTATATGTCTTCTATAAAGAGGGTGCCAAAAATTGTATACACATTTTAAGAAAGGAAAAAACTATTAAAATTATAAAACTCAATATATACCAGTAATAAAAGATGGATACAAGTCACTCTTGACTCCTGCAATTACAAGAGGTACTCAAAGTGGTTCCCATCAGCGCCCAGACACTTCTGATGACGGCGAGGAACTGCAGGACTTGTCACTGTGCGAGGCCTCCCGGATCTTCCCTTGTGCACGTCACACACAGCACCCTGCGTCTCAAACTCATTATGGATGCTTGCAGTTGTTAGGCATGTTAGAGGTTCTGTTGCATGCTCACACCTCCATTGTTGTCGTACTTCCAAATATCGAATACTTCAAAATGGTCTTGTGCTCCTTGAATGACAACCGTGCTTCCGCCATTTTCTTTGACTGCCCTGCCTGTCGCGTGGTGACACCAGCATTCATTTAATGCCGTCTTTTTCTTTTTTTGAATTGGAGTCTCACTCTGTCACTCAGACTGGAGTGCAGTGGCCGCTCCCGGCCACTGCAGCCTCCACCTGCTGGGCTCCGGCGATCCTTCTGCCTCAGCCTTCCAAGTAGCTGGAACTACAGGCGCACGCCACCACACCCGGCTAGTTATTTATTTATTGTAGAGATGAGGTCTCACCAACTTGCCCAGGCAGGCCTCGAACCCATGGGCTTAGGAAATCCACTTACCTTGGCCTCCCAAAGTGCTGGAATTACAGGCTGAGCCACTGAGCCTGGCCCATTGAATGCCATCTTTTGAGCAAGTGTCATACTACAAGTGGCTACCGTCATTCAATTCAACTTCGAAAAGCAATGCATAGACAACATCTCTCAAAAATACATTTTTGGCACCTCCAGTATATATATTATACATATGTATACAGGTTGAGTATCCCTTATCTGAAATGCTTGGGACCTGAAGCATTTCAGAGTATTTGTATTATATATACTTACCAGTTGAGCATTCCAAATCTGAAAACCTAAAATACTCCAACAAGCAGTTCCTTCAAGTGTCATACTGGTACTCAGAAAGGTTTGGATTTGGGTGTATTTGGGATTTGGTGTTTGACTTGGGATGCTCATCATAACTATACATGTTCCACGCAAACACATATAAACCGTGTATGTAGCAAATACATACATACACAGATAGACTTTTAAAAACAATAGGGAAAAATCTAAATGACTTAATTATATTTTCCTTTACTTTCTTTGGTGTAAAAACTTACAAAGTCTATACCTATCGCCATGGCTTTAAGAGAATAAGATAACAATTTCTGGAGGACAGAGTGGTTAGGCAACTGGAGAATTGGATGGGGTCCCTGACTCCCTAGCTCGGGTTGGGGACAGCCACGTTGAAACGATGATCACAACTGCCATGAGGAGAGGAACACTACACAGAACTCTGACCCACAGTACAGATTGAAAGACCCCTGCTATTCGGGAACATTTTCTCCACTCAGCAGAACCATTAGAGGTACAAGATCCTGGGCAGCCTCTCTGACTGCCCTCAATTCCTGGAGTCTTCATGGGAGGATGCCTACTCCATTCCTAGACTGCACAGAGCAAGAAAGGAAAACAGGAGCAACGGCTCTATTCTTTTAAGAATCCTGACTTGCAAATATTTTAATGATGCAGATTTTTTACATTTTTTTTAGATCCAATAGAATTACAAACGTCAAGATCTAAAAATTTAGCTGGTCAAAAACAACCAACATCTGTTCTTTCCCGGCTGAGCTTCAGATCGTCATTTGCTTCCCTGTTCTCATTCAGAAAATCTGCAAAGGAGACTTTCAAGCTTCAGCCGCTGGGACGGAAAGGGTGAGTTAAACTCAGGTATCAGATATCGGAGGCCAGCAGGCTGTTTTGTGTTCAGAATGTTTCCAGTCTGTTCTTAGAATTTCCATTCAAAGGCAACAAAGGAAACAGGACTTTGCTCCCATGGTGACAGAGTGCTTGTGAACCCAGGAAACTTGGCTCACCTGAAATCTGTCTTCTAACCAATCCTAGAGGGCCCTGGTGGTGCATTTGGTGAAAGATGTGCTAAATGCAGGAAATAGTTATTGACAGATTTTCTCCGGCTCCCAGAAGCTGGTCTACCTTGACCAGGAAGATATTATTTAAATCAACACTGCTCTTCACTGGCGAGTGTGTGTCCTAGTCTTAAGGAGAGTTGGGGTATAAAGACTAGACAAGAGTAAATAAGAGATGAGCAAAGAGAGAAGAGAAACAGACAATTCTAAAACAGGAAACAACGTATCACTCTTAGTAGAAATATTGAGGGCAGCTGTTCCCCTGTGGTTGCCCAGGATTTAAGTATCAGGTGAAGGAAGAGAAGCTTTTGGAGCCGTGGAGCCAACAGTTCCAGATGGTTCCGGTTTAGGACTGTATATAAATCAGCTCCCTTGACTCATTATGCTTCTGGATTGTGTTGTGAAAAACAGGCAAGGCTATGCTTAAGCTCCGCTGAGCTGATGGCTGAAATTTTCGGCACGTCTTCCTGGTTGCAAAGCTTCCCACCCTCTAAGGTGTTGGCTTGGCACGTGATGCATCCCGTGTGCCGTCAAACCATCTGGAGTGTGTTGCAGCGCGAAATAAAAGGTGTTGGAGGTCACTGTCGCTGAAAAGCGGGCGACAGCAAGCGGCTGGCAGGGCGTGGGATGAGGCCCCTGGGCCGCCAGGCACCGTCCTCCGTCCAGGGTGGATGGAAGGTTCTTTATGTTTCCAGCTTTCCCCTGAGGCTGGTTTTGTCTGATGAAGTAAGAGCCGGACAAAATGTAGATCTGTGTGACTGTCTCTACCAAAGTCACTCACAAGGAAATCCTCTTCGAATAGGTGAGTCGGTTTTCTTTGTAAAAAACGTTTAAGGTGTGGGTGATCCTTTCCTCTGGGGGATTAAAATGCAGGAATATTTCCTGCGCAGGAAGTATTTCTTTTAAGGAGAAAAGACCTATTTCCAGTGTGTGGTGTAGCTAGGATTTGTGATGTAATTGGTATGTTAGGTGATTCTCTTTATGGCAGAGTATCGTGTAGCTGAACAGTCTGACATTAGTCAACTGGGAAATGTGGAGGAGCCTGTTAATTTTATGGGCAAGTTACTTCCAAGCTCTTATTGCGGGTGACAATAAATGTGGATCAAAGAAGATAAAAGGTCTGTACTCTTCATTCTGGGTAGCACATATTTTGATTAGAGACCAAGTTGAAAAAAAAAAGGAAACTCGTGCAAAATCCTGTTTAGCAATGTCTTTCTTAGATGCCAAAATGACTTGTAGCTGTCTCTTCATCTGACAGATTGAAACATAAATGCCACATGCAGAAAGGAAACACATTTCATCATTTACGTGTCTGTGTGTATGGTTAGCAGTTTTCAGAATTTGTCATCTTAAATACGTCTTTAAATACTTTCAAAACATAAGTGGGGATATTCGACATGTATTTTAACATTATCACGGATACTGATCAATGTTTATGAATGCGGCTGTTGCGGAATATAACAAAGATACTATCTGTTACTCCTGAAAGGTTTCAGCAGATAAAATGTAAAAGCATGTCACTTTTTTTTTAATGTGAATGTGACCTAAATATTTAGATATATCATCCTAAACATGGGAAGGATGTTTTTCTCTCTCTTTTTTTCTTTTTAGAGACAGAATCTTGCTCTGTCACCCACACTAGACTGCAGTGACATGATCACTGCAGCCTCAAACTTGGGTTCATGATCCTCCACCTCAGCCTCCCAAAGTGCTGGAATTACTGGCATGAGCCACCATGCCTGGCCAATTTTTTTTCAGAGGAGTATTGTAGAGAGGCAAGGGGTATAAATGGCATATTGCACATTCTGAGGGCTCTTTCCTCTCATGTAGAACCTGACTTTCCCTGGAAGTTGTGATCTTCCAAAATACAGCCAGCCTTCAGAATACGGACTCTGACTCAGGAGCTCCTCCTTGCCTAAGAGCACACCGGGCGGGACCGACAAAGTGCCCAGGAAGCACCGTCAGCATCCTGCACAAGGACAGCCGTCAGGTTGCTACTTGCTGAAGCCATTGAGGGCTTGTCACACTCGGTGCCCTGGAGAACAAGTCAGTAAAGCAGTTCAGGGATCTTTTGCAAGTCAGAGAAAAACAACCAGCAGAAGGCAACAGACAGCCTTCTTCTGTTCAGCCCTAAAATACTTGTTTATCAGAAAAATTTCTTTTTTCTTGTAAGCTTTGGTTTTAACTGAGAAATGACCCTGGGTAATGACTAACACTCCCCGCCCCCCCAAAGAAGATAGACTTCATCATTTCACCAGATATACTCGTTCACTTTAAGGTCCAGCCAATGAAAGTACATGGTATATTGAAGCTTTGGTGTCTTAATATCAGTGGGTAAGAAGCCATGGGAATATAGACTTCATGAATGTATGAAGAGACAAAAAGATTTATTATTTCTCCTTCAAATATGATTTGTCTCTCTTTCTAAACTTACATACTTCCCAAATTATTCCATTATGATCTTAATCCTGTTTGTGAAGGATTGACCCCACCCCAACCCCAGGATAAAAGAAAAACATATTTTCCATTTGTGTGTTAATGTGGGTTTTATTTATTATTTTTTTTTTCTTGGGTCGGAGATTCACTCTGTTGCTCAAGCTGAAAGGCAGTGGCACCTTCTGGGCTCAGGTGATCCTTCCGCCTCAGCCTTCCAAGTAGCTGGAGCCACAAGGATGCACCCCCATGCCTAGCTAATTTTTTTATTTTATTGTAGAAACGAGGTCTTGTCATGTTGCCCAGGCTGGTCTTGAATGCCTGGGCTCAGGCAATCCTCTCACCTCCACCTCCCTTAGTGCTGGGATTACAGGCGTGAGCCACCGCGCCTGGCAGTGTATGTATTCTTAGCCAATGGATTCAAGAAAAATGTACATCTATTGCACGTAGCTTTCCCCCAGCGTTTTCTGTGAGTCTTGTTTTCATGGGTCTTGTACCAGGGTGTCTAGAGCATGTGACTTAGGGTACTCAGCCCACCACAGAATTTTGGCAAGTCTGTCATTTCACAGATTGCTTCCACAGAGCTCAGTAAATGTCCAACAGCATATGTCAGGAGCTTGTAAGTGCAGTCTTCTCAGCTTCCAAGCAGATTCGGCGGTGGTGTCTTTCTTGTTCTAGATCCCAGATGACTCCAAGGACACCCACCCCACCATGAACAGGCGATGTATGTTGCCTTTTCAGATGCAAAGAGCTTTGGTGGAGCTACCTGGCTGCTCTCAGACATGCCCAAATTTGCCTGATCCTCAGGGCATACACAGCTTAGACGGTCCAGCTGCAACCTCCGGGTTACATAAGCAGAAAGGGCAAATACTCTTTTGGAACTTTTATTTTTTTATTTTTAATGTATTTTTTTAGAGACGAGGTCTCGCTGCTTTGCCCAGGCTGGTCTTGAACTCCTGGACTCAAGCAATCCTCACGTCTCGGTCTCCCAAAGTGCTGGGATTACAGGTGGGTGCCACCACATCCGGCCCTACTTTGGAAAATTTAGAAGACAGATCATTTCTTTTTTCCCCGGATCGTCTGTCCCACTCTGTCTCTGTCTCTCCCCTCTTCTCTCCCTCTCTCCCTCCAAATGTCCTGCTGCGAACTCTTTCTCTTTCCTCCTTGAGTGCCTGTGCCTGAGTTGGAAGACACAGGACTCTGAGGCATCTAGACTAAGGGAGAAGTCAGAGTGAGCGGGATCCTTCTTTGGAAATGCGGTTTCTGTGAGCCCAGGTGGGGTGTCCACAGATAACAGCAGGGTTGTGGTGGCAAGCAGGAGGAGAAAGAAGCGATGTGCGTGGGCATGGCTTTGAGTTTTGTCCTGAGTGACCAGTGGTTCCCAGCTGATCTGGTTGATCACAACGACTGTGTCATCAGCAATTTTTAAATAATGACCCAATCAACAGGCCTCAACCTCGTATGTCTGGTTCAGAAAGTCTGAAGTCGGGCACAAGGAGCTGTAAGTGTTTATTGATGTGTTTGTTTGTTTATGCATGCATGCATGCTTCTCTGGAACATCTGAATGCTCATTCGGGTTTGGGAAACACTGCCATTTCACGTATTCCCTTCCTGGTAAGGGCTGCCAGGATTCCTGGCCAGGGTGATAATAGCCAAGGGGATGACTTCTCTTTGATTTGTTAAGCTTTTATCAGAATCCTGATCTGGCTGGGCTTGGTGGCTCAGCCTGTCATTCCAGCACTTTGGGAGGCTGAGGCGAGTAGATTGCCTGAGCCTGCACGTTCGAGACCCGCCTGGGCAACTTGGTGAGACCTCGTCTCTATAATAAATCAAAAAATTAGCCGGGCGTGGTAGCACGCGCCTGTAGTTCCAGCTACTTGAAAGGCTGAGGTGGGAGGATCGCCGGAGCCCAGCAGGTCGAGGCGGGGGTGGCCATGAGTATGCCACTGCACTCCAGCCTGGGCAATGGAGTGAGACTCCAACTCAAAAAAAAACAAAACAAAAAAAACTCTAGGACGTGCCATGCGCATCCCGACCATCGTGGATTTGTACCTGAATGATGGCCATTTCCATCAAAGGACAGGAAAGGGCTTGAGGATTTACACGGGGCTATTACATGGCCTCGCTGCCACCTGGGTAACAGTGGACACACTGATGATTGCAGTGCAATGTGGTAAGGGCCATGGGGCTGCACGGTATTCCTGTCAGCAGAACACTCAGGAGAGAAGCACTTAACACAGGCCAAAGGATCCAGAGGCCTTCCTGGAAGAGGAGGGCCTGTTTTTGAAGGAAAATCGTACTGGGGCAGGCAATTAAGAGTCCAGAGGCTGTACCTGGCATAGGAATGACACACAC